TATATATATATATATATATAATATATATATATATATATATATATAAATAAATAAATAATGATATATAAAAAATATCCGATTTTTTTATAAAATATTATTAATTACAGTTTAGTAGATCGCGTAAAGGACTTCAAAATCCCTCATAATTTTTCCTTCGTTAGTTTTGATGTTATTAATCTTTCAGCAACATTCCACATAAATTAGTTATCACCGCCATTAGGAGAAATGGTTGCAAATTGTTGAATACACTTCACTACCTCCCCTCCTCTCGAAACATTCATTTCTGAATAGATTTACTACTGAAGGCCTCATATTTCCCATTCAATAATAAATTTTATACTATGATTAGAGGATGTCCTATGGGAAGTCCTTTAAGTCCCGTTTTAGCAGACTTAGTACTACAAGATTTAGAGAACAGTGTGTTGAATTCTACAATTTGCAAACCACTACTATATTTTTCGATATGTCGATGACACGCTTCTATAATTAACAAAATGATATAGAGAACATATTTCAAAAATTTAATAATTATAATTCTCATTTACAATTTACACAAGAATCAGAAAAGATACTCTATACATTTTCTTGATGTTCAGCTCATTAACGACAGCGGTATTTGCATTACCAATTGGTTCAGGAAAGATAGCTGGTCAGGCAGGTATATTAATTTTAATTCTTTTACACCTCTCAATATAAAGATATCCACAGTTCTCAGTTTAGTAGACCATGCAATTCTTTTATCTAACCCAAAATTTCATAATCACAATATCAAATTAGTCATTAACACATTACTCATGAATAGTTTCCCTTACAAAATAATCGCAATAATTAAAAATAGAGTTAAATTTTTATTAGACAAACATCAATAACCACACATTGCTCAAATCACTTGTCTGTATCAGAAAATAAATTTTTGTGAATGTTCCATATATAGACAAAGATTTACACCTTTTATCTAAAAGGCTTTTTAATAAACATAATATTAACATATCCGTGTCACCCTTACTACAACTGCAAGACATATACACAAACATTAAAGACAATACACCTATTAAAAAAGAAAAGATGTGGTATACAAAATAACTGTTTGAACTGTGAGTCATCTTATATTGGGCAAACATGCCAAATTTAGAAAAAAAGATTAAGACAGCACGAATTACAAGCAACAAAGTAAGAATAATAACAT